TATATATATATATATATATATATATATATATATATATATATATATATATATATATATATATATATATATATACTTTTTTTTTTAACTAACTATTGGTGAAGTCTTCTTTATTAGTGGTTTATAGGTTACAATACAAAATTAAAGTAATTTTTATAATTTCATTTAATTTTAATTATTATAATTATTTTAATATGTAATTTATTTGTGTAAAATAAGTATACATCTATATTGTTTACTTAATATTTAAGATTTGAAAACATCATCTATTATACTGACATTAATTCACAATTTTAAGGAAAAATAAGTATGTGCGTTTTCTATTATTAAAAACTCATACACTATTACCGAAATATATTAATTCATTCATTCATTCATTCATTTTCCTTCAGTTTAGTCTCTTATAAAAAGGTTGCCAACGTGGAATGAACCACCAACTATTCCAGCACATTTTAAATAGCAGATGCCTTTCCAGCCACAACCCAGTTCTGGGAAACACCCAAACACACAAACACACACACACACTACAGACTATTAGTTCATCCAATTCATCTATAGAAGGAAACCCACGGCAACACGGGGAGAATGTGCAAACTCCACACAGAAACGGCAACTAATCCAGCCAGGACTCGAACCAGCAACCTTCTTGCTGTGAGGCCACAGTGCTAACCACTGAGCCACCATGCTGCTCACCGATATATATAGTTGAAGTCAGATTAAATTTTGTTTTCTTTTTTAAATATTTCCCAAATGATGTTTCACAGATTCAGGAATTTTTCACAGTATGTCTGATAATATTTCTTGGTTGTTTTATTGCAGTTAGAATAAGTGCACTGCCTCTTTAAACAATACAGCTACAGTATATAAATAGATTTGTGCATAATATGCCGGCTTGATCTGTGAAATGCATGCATAAGGATGTTAGAAAATGTTCATGTGCTAATTAGGTTAGGAAAATGTGCAGAAGTTGAGTTGAACATTTGCAGATTTTCTGTAGGTATCGTGCCAGCGACTGCACTGCCAGCTCAGCTCTACCTTTACACTTCTGCATCAACGTGTCTGACAATCTGCAAGCATGTCTTGAATGTGTGTGCGCCTGTGTGTGAGAGAGTGAAAATACTTGCAAAGTTCTGTTCAGCTTCCACCATTATAGGGAGCATGCGAATATGGCGATGGAGATGTGTTTTGTCTATTCTTGAGTTTTAAATGTTGAAAACGTAAACGTGTGTGTTAGCCTATTACACAACACAGGCTCATTCTGAAAACACACCCCTATATACATTTCTGGAGAGCGTGAATTATGTAGCCAGAGGTATGTTTGGCTGCATTTAGTCTTTTCGTCTTTATAACGAACGTTACGAGAACATTACGAGATGTTAAAATAATTATAATAATAAAATGAAACGAAGTGCTACAAATTACTGTAATTTTGTAATATACACTCCAGAAATGTATATCGCCGTTTCTTATCGCTCTACCAGCGGACCGATTACCTCAGTGTAGACGACTTTCCTGCTTTTTCGTCATGTGAGTCAGCGGACTTGAGATGTACAGAGTTGACCGCGATGATGTGGTTTGAGTCTGGTGAAGAACAGTTTTAGAAAGAAGTTTAAACAAAAACAAAAGCCAAAAAATAAAATAAACAAGTGCTGTAAATAACAGATTGAGAATGTGGTAAAATCTGAAAACGTGGTAAAAATCAGGCGACGGCTTTTCTTTTACTGGATTGCTTTTGAAAACACTGCCATTGTTTAGGGAAGAAGGTGGGTGTGTCAATCAGTGCTTTAGAAAACACTATTGGTTGGGTTTAAAGAAGGAAGTGGGTGGGTCAACCGGTGCTTTAGAAAACTATTCATTTGGTTTAGGAAGGAGGTGGGCGGGTCAATAGGTGCTTTTGAAAATACTATTGGTTGGGTTTAGGTAAGGGGGTGGGCAGGTCAGTCGATGCTTTTGAAAACACTATACATTTTGTTTAGGGAAGGGGGTGGGCGGGTCAATCTGTGATTTGGAAAACACTATTGGTTGGATTTAGGGAAATGGGTGTGCGGGTCAATCTGTGCTTTTGAAAACTATTAGTTGGGTTTAGGGAAGAGGTGGGCGGGGCAATCAGTGATTTTAAAAACACTTGATTGGGTTTAGGAAAGGGAGTGGGTGGGTCAATTGGGGGTTTTGAAAACACTATTGGTTGGGTTTAAGGAAGGGGGTGGGTGGGTCAATTGGTGGTTTTGAAAACACTATTGGTTGGGTTTAAGGAAGGGGGTGGGTGGGTCAATTGGTGGTTTTGAAAACACTATTGGTTGGGTTTAGGGAAGAAGGTGGGCGGGCCAATCAGTGCTTTTGAAAACATTATTGGTTGGATTTAGAGAAGGGGGTGTGCGGGTCGGTCAGTCAGTCAGTCAGTTGACAGTGGCTTCTGGTGGATATAGGTGAGAACAGCCGGTGCGAATGGCACTAGCGGGAGAAGTTTGAGATCTGAAAAAGCGTACACAGCGACCTCTGGTGGATTTGCAAAAACACAAGCTGCAAAAAAAAACGTACCTCCTGGGATTTTTTTGGCGCTCTCCAGAAATGTGTACAGGGATTCATTTTCAGAATGAGCCTGGGTTGCTTTTGTCTTGTGTAGAGTAGGGCATATAAATATTTTTTTATTTATTTATTTTTTATTTTTTAAGGTATAAAATACATCCACTGTGTAAAACATATGCCAGAATAGTTGCAGGTTCATTCCACTGTGGTGACCTCGGAAATAGAGACTAAGACGAAGGAAAATTAATGAATGAATTGAGAGTCCTCATAAACCACCAATACCAACATGTGTGTGTGTGCAGACAGTAAGGTTGTGCCTGTGCATGTGTGTTTCTCTCTGGTATATGTGTGTGTGTTGGTGTGTGTTTCACTGTGCATGTGTGTTTGGTAAGCTTACAGAGTCTCATCACTATAACGCATTCTCCCTCTGCTCTTCCTCCTGCAGGAGTGTGTCCTCCATGGAGCGTGTGCTGCTGCTGTGTGTGTGCGTGTTCTGCGCGTCCTCCTCCTCCTCCGCCATGCTGTGCCCCAAACGCTGCACCTGCCAGAACCTGCTGCCCTCCTACACCGTGCTCTGCGCCAAAACCGGCCTGCTCTTCGTGCCGCCCAACATCGACCGGCAGACGGCGGAGCTGCGTCTGATGGACAACTTCATCACCAGCCTGCGCCACCGAGACTTCGCCAACATGAGCAGCCTGATCCACCTCACACTCTCCCGAAACACCATCAGCCAGATCCGACCCTACGCATTCGCAGACCTCCAGGATCTACACGCATTGCATCTGGACGCAAACCGGCTGACGGTTCTAGATGACACACACTTACAAGGCCTGGTTAATCTCCGCCATCTAATACTAGCCAACAATCAAATCCACAGCATCTCAGAAGGAGCCTTTCAGGACTTCCTGGAAACTCTTGAAGATCTCGATCTGTCGTATAATAATCTGGTGGACTTACCGTGGGACACCATTGCGATGCTAGCCAGCGTCAACACCTTGAGTTTGGATCATAACCTGATTGAGTTCGTTCCTGAGGGGATATTTTCAAATCTGCATAAACTAGCTAGACTTGATATGACGTCCAATAAGCTGAAGAAGATTCCTCCGGATCCTTTATTTCTGCGTATTCCTGTATACGCCAAGATGAAGGGATCACCGCTGACCGCACTGGTGCTCAGTTTCGGGGGGAATCCGTTGCATTGTAATTGCGAGTTGGTTTGGTTGAGACGTCTTACTCGTGAGGATGATCTGGAGACCTGTGCATCTCCGAGAGAGCTTGCTGGGAAGTATTTCTGGACGATTCGGGAGGAGGAGTTTGTTTGCGAGCCGCCGATGATCACTCGACACACTTCTAAGATGTTTGTGATGGAGGGTCAGGAGGTCAGCCTGCGCTGTCGGTCCGTCGGCGACCCTGAACCCATCGTGCATTGGATCAGTCCTGATGGGAAGCTAATCGCTAACACTTCACGTACAGTATGCTATGATAACGGCTCTCTGGATATCCTGACCGCCACAGTGAAGGATTCTGGCGTGTTTACATGCATCGCTTCTAATGCAGCCGGTGAGGCTACGGCGCCGGTGGAGTTGGTTGTGAATCCTTCACCGCATTATGATCCCAAACTGGAGCCTGAGCCGGGACCCTCGGATATGCCCACGTCTATAAAGTCCAACAGCAGCGGCAGCGGAGGGCAGAATCGAGCTGATCAGCGGGTCACGGTTTCAGAAATTACGCCCAGCTCTGCTATGATCCGCTGGCCTCCACAAAGCCAGATTCCTGGAGTGCGCATGTACCAGGTCCAGTACAACAGCTCCACTGATGACATCCTCATCTACAGGTGAGTTCACTGCACGGATTATTACATTCATTTATAAACACATTACATCTTTATTGAACAACATTCACATATAGATATATTTCTAATCAAGTCCATTTATTTATCCATCCATCCATATAAATATTGACCCATTCATCCAAATATCAATCAATCCATCCATCCATTCATATAAATATACATCAATCCATCTAAATATCCATCCATTCATCCTTCCATCCATACATCAAAATACACATCAATCCATCCATTCATCCAACAATCCATCCATCCAAATATACATCAATTCATCCATTCATCCAAATATCTATTCATCCATCCATACATACATCCATTCATACAAATATACATCAATCCATCCAAATATCCATCCATTCAACCATCCCATTATACATCATTTCATCCATTCATCCAAATATCTATCCATCCATCATCCATCCATCCATCCATTCATACAAATATACATCAATCCATCCAAATATACATCCATTCATCCATCCCATTATACATCAATTCATTCATTCATCCAAATATCTATCCATCCATCATCCATTTATCCATCCATTCATACAAATATACATCAATCCATCCAAATATCCATCCATTCATCCATCCCATTATATATCAATTCATTCATTCATCCAAATATCTATCCATCCATCATCCATTTATCCATCCATTCATACAAATATACATCAATTCATACAAATTTCCATCCATCCATCCAAATATACATCAGTTCATCCATTCATCCAAATATCTATCCATCCATCATCCATCCATCCATTCATACAAATATACATCAATTCATACAAATATCCATCCATCCATCCAAATATACATCAGTTCATCCATTTATCCAAATATCAATCCATGCATCCATCCATCCATACAAATATAAATCAATCCAACCAAATATACATCAATCCATCCAAATATCCATCCATCCATCCATCCATCCATCCAAATATACATCAATCCATCCATTCATCCAACAATCCATCCATCCAAACATACATCAATTCATCCAAATATCAATCCATCCATCATCCATCATCCATTCATACAAATATACATCAATCCATACAAATATCCATCCATCCATCGATCCGTCCATCCATCCATCCATCCATCCATCCATCCAAATATACATCAATCAATCCATTCATCCAACAATCCATTCATCCATTCATTAATACAAATATCCATCCATCCGTCCATCCATCCATCCATCCATCCATCCATCCATCCATCCAAATATACATCAATCCATCCAAATACCCATCCATCCATCTATTCATCCAACAATCCATCCATCCATTCATTAATACAAATATCCTCCATCCGTCCATCCATCCGTCCATCCATCCATCCATCCATCCATCCAAATATACATCAATCCATCCAAATACCCATCCATCCATCCATTCATCCAACTATCCCCATCCATCCATCCATTCATTGAAATATCTATCCATCCAAATATACTTCAATGACTTACCAAATAAACCTAAATTGTCTAATTAACCTAGTTAAGTCTTTAAATTGCATTGAATACTAGAGTCTTAACTAGTAAAATAACTAACTAGTAAACAATTAATAAATATTATGTACTGTCATGGCAAAGATAAAATAAATCAGTTATTAGAAACGAGTTATTAAAACTATTATGATTAGAAATGTGTTAAATAATCTTCTCTTCTTTAAACAGAACTTGGGAAATATCTGAAAACAAAATGACTAATATTTTTTCTTCAGTTTGCACAGAATAATTGATCAATAAATAGGTCGACGAATCAATGATTGAACAAAAATCTAGAGGATAAAAGGTGTATCTTGAGGGTATTTTCTGTGTTTCATATTTAAGCACATCAGCTTTAGTTAAATGAGAATTGTCTCCTTGGCAACTATCTTAAATTAAGTAATACTAGAAATCCAAAGCACCGTGAGCGGCATGTCAGAACACATCAGTGCTAAATTGCTTTTATTTGAATAAATTAAGGTGATTGAACTTGAGATTAGCATCTGTGTTTTTGATCCTCCAGACACTTTACAATCCCATCCCATCAAAAATACAATCATTTTACCAATATACATCAAATGATTTGCAGATATGTGTGATTATATGTGATAATTAATGTCATTTTTCATCAGAGCTGGTCTCTCAATACTTGATTATAATTTATTCCTAGTTAATAACATAATAACATCACCTAATTATAAGTTATGCAATAAACTTGAAATATATGACTAGTGTCTATTATTTTACTTTAGTTTTCGCCTTTTTCAGTGTTGTTGGGTTACACATTTACCTTATCATTACACATTTGTTATGTTATCTGGTCATTGTTGTTGATGTGATTCACCATTATCAGCTGATGACAAAATCATTCATCCTTTTTCTCATATTTGCCAAGTGATGTTTATGGATGGATAGATTGATATAGTTGGATAAATGTTTTAATAGATGGATGGATGGATGGATGGATGGATGGATGGATGGATATTTGGACGGATATTTGGTTGGATAGATATTTCAATAAATGGCTGGAATGGTTGGATGGATGTATATTTGGATGAATGGATATTTAAATGAATGGATGGATGTGTATTTGGATGGATGGATAGATAAATATTTCAATGAATGGATGGATAGATAGATGGATGGATGTTTATATATGTATAATTGAATGGATGGATGTATATTTGGATGGATCGACTGATATTTGGATGGATATATGGATGGATGGATGGATTGATGGGTAGATGTTTGGATGGGTACTTATTGTTGATATTTAGATGGACAAATAGTCTGATGGATGGATGGATGGATAAATACATGGTTGGGTGGATGTATATTTGTATGGATATATATTTCAATGGATAGATGGATGGAAGCATGTATATTTGGATGGATAGATAGACTTATATTTTAATGAATTGATGGATGGATGGATGGATGGATGGATGGATGGATGGATGGATGGATGGATGGATGGATGGGTGGATGGATGGATGGATGGATGGATGGATGGATGGATGGATGTTTGGATGGATGTTTGGATGGGTATTTATTGTTGATATTTAGATGGACAAATAGTCTGATGGATGGATGGATGGATGAGTGGATGTATGGATGGATGGATGAATGGATATTTGGATGAATGGAAATTGGGATGGATAGTTAGATATTTCAATGGATGGATGGATGGATGGTTAGTTGGGTAGATATATAGTTGGATGGATGGATGGATGGATGGATAGATGGACGGATGTATATTTAGATGGATACATATTTCATAGGATAGATGGAAGGATATATATTTGGATGGTTAGATAGACTGATGTTACAATGAATGGATGGATGGATATTTATTGTTGATCAGATAGACAGATAGTCTGATGGGTGGATGAATGGATGTATATTTGGATGGATAGATAGATATTTTTGGATGCATGGATGGATGGATATATAGTTGGGTGGATGGATGTATATTTGGATGGATAAGATGGACTGATATTTCAATGGATGAATGGATGGATAGATGGATGTTTGGATGGATATTTATTGTTGATATTTAGATGGATGGATGGATGGATCAACTGACCGATAGATTGATGGATCAACTGAACGATAGATTGATGGATCAACTGACCGATAGATGAAAAAATCCTGATTGTTGGATATATAAAGGTTAGATGGATGGAGGTATTTGGATTGATAGCTGGAAATTTTGATGGACAAATGGATGGAAATATATTTGAATGGACAGACAAAAAGACGAACAGATAGATAGGAAACACTGTGACGCATTTCCATCTTTGTTTAAAAGCTCTTTGAAGGATAATAATAATTAAGCCTCCAGTGTGGATTATCAGTATTCTCCTTAATCAATGCCCAGTGAATACAGGCAGCTTGACTGTACATGTTACACTGGAGTTTGCTGATGCGGATATAAATAAATGCAATATTCGCCGATTGCACATTTTCAAAGCTTCTCTGCTCAGTCTTGTTTCGCATGTGCGCTGCGGATGGTCTATCCCCCCAAATGGGTTTTGAATCTGGGTAATTCTGCATTAGATAAACAAATTGATTCTGTCTTTGTTCAAAGGGGAAGGCTGGCATCTGAGACTGGGGGTGTTAATGGCTTATGGCGGAATCCTATTCAGAAACATTGCAATTCCTCTGATGAATACAAATGCACCTCGATTATGGCCAGCCAATGAAGACACAGTAATATCATATGAAGCACAAGCATATACAGTTGAAGTCACAATTATTCGCCCTCCTGAGATTTTTTAAAAAAAATTCCCAAATGATGTTGAACAGATTCAGGAATTTTTCACAGTATTTCCTATAATATTTTTTTCTTCTGGAGAAAGTCTCATTTGTTTTATTTCAGCTAGAATAAAAGCTGTTTTTATGTATTTAAATCCATTTTAAGGTCAATATTATTAGCCCCCTTAAGCAATATTAGTTTTGGATTGTCTCCCGGACAAACCACTGTTATACAATGACTTGCCTAATTACCCTAACTTTACCCTAATTACCCTAGTGAAGCCTTTAAATGTCACTTTAAGCTAAATACTAGTGTCTTGAAGAATATCTAGCATACACTAAGATAAAAATAACATCTGCTGTTTGTTGTAACTGCGTATTTAAAATGAGCTGTAACAACACAATTCTTGAGGTTTTTTTAGGACAACTTAATTATTTTATGTTCAATCAAATTAAATTTGTTCCCAGAGATGGGTTGCGGCTGGAAGGGAATCCCCTGTGTAAAAACGTGCTGGATAAGTTGGCGGTTCATTCCACTGTGGTGACCCTGGATTAATAAAGGGACTAAGCTAAAAATAAAATAAGTTAAACTTAAATTTGTACAAACTAATAAGCTAACTTAATCCATGTTGTGTCAACGCAAATCGATTAAGTTAACTTAAAGGTTTTCACAAATTTAAGTGTGTTGAACATAAAACAGGCGAGGCAGCGGCGCAGTAGGTAG